GAGAGAGAGAGAGAGAGAGAGAGAGAGAATTGGGGACCAGATTTAAAAGGGGAGAGAGAGAAAAAGGTAAGACGAAGAGGAGAGAGTGAAAATAATGAGAAGAAAAGTCAGGTCATGGTGGGCCAGATTAACAAGAAAGACACCAAAAGTTTGAAACTCATCGGAATGTTCCGAGCAATAAACTTAGCCTGGTTAAAGATAATAGCAACAGACTGCGTTTTATAGAGTTCCCTCTCCCATACAAGACTTGTTTTTAAAGGCTAGCTGGTATCTTTGCTTGTGTGGTGTTGTCTGAGTAAAGAGAGCCACATCGGCACAATAGTGGTAATTAATTAAGTGCTTGGAGAACGTCAGGTAGAAAGACTGAAACAACAGAGCAAAAGTGAAGAAGTACGACTTACCAGTGGCACCAGCCTGCTTGGTAGGAAACGCAAGACCATCCGCCAATCACCCACTCAAGACTTAACAAATCGTTAACTCAGAATTACAAAGTTCTCTCTAACATTTTTTTGATGAAGTCAAATTCTAAATGTTCTATCAGCTCTATCAAAGTTGTAAGGTTATTCTGAGTCATCATCAAGATATTCAAATAACTGCATTCGTTAAAGACTTGACATTTTTTATTATATAAAACTAAAAAAAAACATTTTCTTGGAATTTTTCAAAACCAGGTACTGTGCAGAAATAGCCTTGTAATTCTGAGGTATCAAAAGGACAAGAACTTTCGCCACCTGTAGCCGGATGCCGATTCCTACATAGATAAAGTGAATAATATCAAAATCTGTGTGAAGTGTCTCTTCCATACCTGGTTGAGCCGTCAGAAAAAAAGCTATTATAACTGTTAGCTAAAAACATTTTTTTAAAAAACACTCCCAAAAGCCACACCATCAACAACAAAAATCAAACAAACCCAATGAAGGCTACAGTATCAAACTAACACGCAATAATAAAACTTTATATCGAGATCATCTTTAAGTGTAGATGGTTGGCAGGAGCTCTGATGTGGTTTACTTCTTCTTTCCTATCAAACAGCTATCATTCTTATCTTTCCTTCTTTTTGTGTTGTTACTGTCTTGTAACACCTCTAATTTTCCTTCATTTATATGACCCAACTATGTTATAAATGCCGAAAAACTGTTACTAAAACAAACTTTCAATAGGACATTCATGTGTCAATAAAGCGAAGCTTCTTTAGTCGGTAAAACCGTAGACAGTTCGTTGAACTACAACATCAATGTCGGTTTTTCGTTTGGTTTGATACGGGTTTCACAGTACTTGCAACAGTTCAAGTCATGTAAATGCCGAAGGTCAGAGTTACAATTGAGTAACAAACGTGAGACATGAAGGAGAGTTATTGCAAAGGACGACAGTGAATAGTTATAGAAAGAAAAAGCAAACCCCACCTAGAACGCCAACCAATCGCCCGCGCTGTAGTTGACAACACAACCCCAATGAAATATAAGAGGTTGGGAAGGGGTAAAAAAGAAAGATTGGGGGGGTGGGAGTGTTTTGCTTTCGATTGGTCTGTTTCATTTTGGGTGGGGGGGTTTTCTTCTTTTTCTTTCTTTTTTTTTTTTGTCTTTTTCGTTTTTTAGAAAGGGGAAAAGCATAGAAAAACAGAAAAACAATTAAAAAGACAGCAGGCAAACACCATGATGAAAAGGCTGTCAAGCGGATACATAGACCGATAAATAGACAGATCTATAAATCATTAATTTTATTGTTATTAATTAC